CCCTCCCCCCCTCTCATCCTTCGGGCATTTGGCTCCCGGGAGCTACTCCCCATTCCAACTATTCCCTCCTCAACGAGTCCCCCCTTCCTCACTGTCTTGTCTCTGCCGCCGCATCCAACACTGATCCACCTCAGTCTTCACAGGTGAGCTGCACGCATTCTCTCGTTTTCTTGCACCCACAAGGGTGACATTTCTCTGGACTGACAGCCTTTTCTCCCTCTGTCACACCCCCAAAAGAGTGATGACTGTCTTTGGGATTGTGCACTGGGTTCAGCCTTTTTTTTTTTTTTTTTTTTTTTTTTGCAGTACGGGGTACTCAGGGCCTTGCGCTGGCCAGGCAGGCGCTTATTCTACCGAGCTATCTCCCAGCCCTGGCTTCAGCCTTTGACTCACCTTTAATTTGGCCGCTAAGGGAAAATATTCCTTCCCAACCCCCAAAGCACACGCCACTCAAGTGCCTCTTATGGGAACTTAAACACCTTCGGTCTCCAGGAGCTTATAAAGCTTGAACGATTAATCTTTTACTGCCTGCCGGTTTGGATAACGACAGCCACTGGCCCAAGGAGGGTACTTTGAATTGCAATACTTCCTGGGACCTAGACAACTTCTACTATGGCAACTGCAAATAGGCAGAGATTCCCTAGGTACAAGCCTTTGTTGCTCCACTCTGTGCCCCTCCCTCCTTCAGGCACGTAGGGCAACCCAGACATTTTTGGCTCACTCCACACTGCCATCGCCCCCCTAACCAGATCTCCTGCCTGACTCCTCTCCAGACTCTCTCTGAGGCCCAGCCTTCTCAGCCTCCTCAGCCAGATCCCCTGTTGACTCCAGCTCACTGTTCACCCGCTGCTCCTCCAGCTCCTCCTCGGCACTTCCATTGCCATTGTTCTCCTTCACTCTGTCCTCAATCTCACCTTAGCCAGCCCCACAATCTTGCCGCCAGTTTTTCCTCACCCTCTTGTACTGAGGCACCTCTTTCTTTCTTTCTTTCTTTCTTTCTTTTTTTTTTTTTTTTTGCAGAGCCAGGGATTGAACTCAAGCCCTTGAGCTTGCGGCAAGCACTTACTCAACTGAGCTATCTCCCCAGCCCCTTGAGCCACCACTTTCCTAGCCCCAACCTTTTCTCTCTCAGGGAGCAGGCTGGTCCGGGGCTGCTGGTTCGAATTCGTGTCCCTTTTATCCTCTCTGATCTCTCCCGGATTTCTCATTGTTAGGCTTCTTTTCTGCTGATCCCCATAAGTATATAAAGGAGCTGCAGGGCTGGGGAGATAGCTCAGCCACGTAAGTGCCTGCTTGGCTAGCACAAGGCCCTGAGTTTGATCCCTGGTACCACCAAAAAAAAAGGAGCCTCAATTCATTAATTCTTATGATCTTCACTTTAAAAATCTACATATTATCCTCACCATTACCTTGTCCTCCCAGCAGAAGCTCCAGCCCTGCCAGGTGGCTAAGACAGAAGTGGCCCAGAGACGCTGACCTAACCACCCTGACCCTGACGCCTGCGGTGCCGCTGCGGTTCCAGACATTGACCCTGTGGGGAGTACTGGGCCCCATGGCTCAGCCTGCTGGGCACTATGAATGCAGGACTTAGAACAATTTCACAGGACACCACCATTTGCCAGAAACTCCATGAGCTAACCCAGTGCCCCAATGAAAACCCCACTGAATTTCTTTCTTGCCTTACTGACACCTTAACCAAATATACTGGTGTTGGGGCTGGTGAGATGGCTCAGTGGTCTAAAGCACCTACTTAGAACAAGCTTAGCAAAGCACAGGGACCACGGTTCAATCCCCAGCACCACGTGCCAGCCAGCCCCGCCCCCTGGTGGGCTGAGCTGGCCACACACACACAGACACACACACACACAAATAAAATTAAAAAAAAAAAAAAAAAGAAAAGCTTTAAAACACACACACACACACAAATATACTGGCACACACACACAAATATACTGGTGTTGACCCTCAGTCCCCTGAGGGAATGAACCTTATTTTAAACTGACACTTCATTTTCCAATTTGCTCCTGACATGTGTGCTAAATTAAAGCCAACAGATGTAAAGTCCACTGATATCTCAGTGGACTAAAGCGTCTGCTTAGGCAGAGTGCAACGGCTAGGGTTCAAACCCCAGCATGCTGTGCCAGCTGTCTTCGGGGTACGCTGAGATGGCGATCGAGACTGGACGTGGTGGCATGTGCCTGTAAGCCCAGCTCTTGGGAGGCTGAAAACAGGAGAATCGCTACAAGTCCAATCTACGTAGTGAGACCCTATAGACCCTGTCCTAAAATATGGGAAAAATAAATAAGTAAATGAGACAGATCTTGGCCCTCTGATCCCACAGGGAGACCTCTTAGTCAGGCTTTCCATGTCTTTACCATCAGAGAGGAACAATTAAAACCGGATAATGAACAACATTCTAAACTTATGCCAATTCTTGGCTACAGCACTCATGAGAACCAAACCTAGACAACGTGGCACCACGCCAGCCCCTCCTGGAGCATGCTTCAAGTGTGGCAAAGAAGAACACTGGGTATGAGCCTGCTCCAGCCCATGGCCACCACCAGGATCTTGTCCCACCTGTAAACTCCAGGGTCACTGGAAGTGCGACTGCCTGTCCACCAGAGAGCAGGTAAGTCATCTAGTTCCCTGCCCTCACATCTCATCACAGCCGCCAGATTCATTGCTAACTGACATGCTCAATCTTGCTGCTGAAGAGTACTGGCAGAGCTTGGGGTCCATGGCCTCCTTCGAGACATCTTTGTTTAAACGCTGAGTCTCAGTGGACATCTCAGGTAAGACACTCTCTTTTCTTATTTATTTATTTTTTTGTGGAACCAGGGATTGAACTCAGGCCCTTGCGCTTGCCAGGGAAGCGCTTATTCCACTGAGCCATCTCCCCGGCCTCAGGGATCTTTTATTCCCCTGTATTCCTCAGTATCCAATAGCCCCTAAACACCAATGGGGATTTATACCCATAATCCAAAGTCTCCTATCCAGCAATTTTCTTAAAACTACCCTTTCACTTTATAATAGTCTTATTCTTCCTGTACTCAAACCTGATGGTTCCTACTGTGTAGTTCAAAATCTCAGGATTATCAACAAAGAGGTTATACCAGGTCACCCGGTGGTGCCAAACCCCTACACCATGCTCCCTCACATTCCCCCTCCACTACCCACTGTACAGTCCTGGACCTCAAAGGTGCTTTCTTCATCATCCCCCTACACCCTACACCCTGATTGTCAGGACCTGTTTGCCTTCACGTGGACAGACCCAGATACCCTCCAGTTCCTATAGCTCACATGGACACTCCTGCCTTGGGGATTCAGGGACAGTCCTCACTTCTTAGCCAGACCCTGACTACTGACCTGGTGACCCTCAATCTCAAACCCAGCACTCTCCTCAGTATATAGGTGCTCTTTTTCTTTGTTCCTCCTCCCATGCCTTAGCCATACGACGTATAGCTACCCTTCTCAACTTTTTCTTGGGACGTAGATACAGGGTTTCTCTTGCCAAAGCTCAAATATCCAGGACTCACCCTCACTCCCACTACTGGCTCGATCGCTGCGGATTGCAAAGCCTCCTGTGCGGCCTCCAGATGCCTGCTACAAAACAAGTCCTTTCTTTCCTTGGCCTACCTAACTTCTTTCACCTCTGTATTCCTAATTTTGCCTCCTTGGCTCAACCTCTCCGTAAAGCACCCAAGGGCTCCTTGTCAGAACCTCTCGACCCTACCACTCCTATACCTTCTTCCTTTCACAAGCCACAAAAGGCCCTGTTAAAGGCTCTGGCTCCCACTCTCCCCACCCAACCTTTTTCTGTATACACTACCTCTCAAAAACACAATGCGGTAGGGGTTCTAGGACACAGAAAGGGACCTTCATTTCAAGCAATAGCATACCAAAATAGTTTGACAACACAGAACCTGGGTGGGCCCCTGCCTCTGGGCCCCTGCAACAGCAGCCATGCTAACACGAGAGGCAGAAAAGTTCACTCCAGGACAGTCAGTCCCAGTGCACTCACCTCCTTGTCTTAAGGAGCTCATCTCACATGAGACACTTCCGCCCCAATGGCTCCTTCCCGCTTACATCTGGTGCTCATACAGGTCTCTTCCATCCCTGTCTCCACTAGCAGGCCCCCTGATCTGGCCACCTGACCCCCCTCCTCCGATGAGGTGCCTCACCACAGCTGCACTGAAGTCGGGAGGTGATCCCCATCCTCTTACTCCATATTAATAGCACTCTTCTCCCTACAGCCTCTGACACCTGGTTTATAGAAGGCAACGCAACCAACATGGACACTCACACAGGGCAGGACCTGTCACAGTCAGCAGGTCTAGAGTAAGAGAAACAAGTCCACTGCCACCGGGGAGATCTTCACAAAAGGCAGAATTTATCACTCTCACAAGGGCCCTCACTCTAGCCAAAGACAAAATCATAAATATCTATACAGACTCCAAGTACACATTCAGTATCCTTCATTCCAGTGCTGCCATCCAGCAAGAAAGAGGTCTAATCAGTACCCAAGGAAGTCCCATCACCAATGTACCCCTCATCCTCAAACTTCTAAAAGCAATGCAATTTCCGGGCAGGTAGCGCTCATTCACCTACGGACACCAGATACCATCAGGCCCTGTTTCTCAGGGCAACACCTCTGCTCACACAGAAGCCAAGTTGGCTGCACAACAGCCATCTCCCCCCATCTTCTCCCCCTTGTCCTGAACGCCCTACCCTCACCTCAATACTCACCTGAACAATTCCAGTTGCTCTAGGAAACAAACTATAGCCAAAACACTAAGGGGTGGATTTTCCACGGCTCAGAGCTTCTCCCCCCAGATCAGCAGGCCTTAACCACAATCACTGACTTACACAAGTGCTTTCACGTGGGCACCCAACGTCTATAAATTCCTCACTCCAACCGCTCCCACCCCTCCCTAAGAACCATCATTCACCAAGTCTCCCAAGGGTGCCATCTCTGTGCCAGAACCTCTCCTCAGGGACAGCTGCCTCCTCCTTTCCCAACCCACCAACTTGGTGGACACGCTGCAGGTGAAGACTGGCAGACAGATTTTACACACATGCCTCATCATAAGACCTATAAATATGTTCTTACCTTAGTATGCACTTTATCAGGGTGGATAGAGGCCTTTCCCACCTCCCAAAAGACTGTAGACATAGTTTGTAAAACTGTTATATGAGAGACAGTCCTCCAATTTGGCTTACCTTGCTCTATCCAGTTGGCGGACCTGCTTTTGTCCCTCAGGTTACCCAGCAGATATCCTCAAGTCTAAACATCACTTGGCAACTGCATGTACCATACTATCCACAGTCCTCAGGGAACATAGAAAAGGCACACAGTCTTGTGAAAACACACTTCCTGAGGGGCCAGGGAGATGGCTTACTAGAATAAGCGCTGGCCTGGCGAGCACAAGGGCCTGAGTTCAATCCCTGGTTCCACCAAAAAAAAAAAATCTCCTGAAACTTATTCTACAACTGTACTTGCTCCTTCCTTTAGCCCTAACTCTACTCAGGGCATGGTAGGGTGTCCACTTTTCTAAGTCCCTTTGACCTTGTGCATGGCAGACCAGTCCTGCTTCACAACTTTCCTCACTAAACCTTCCTCCCATCACCGTCTATATCCCAATCCTCTCCTTCCTCCTTTTGACTTTATTTATTTTGGCAGAACCAGGGATTGAACGCAGGCCCTTGCACTTGCCAGGCAAGCACTTTTTCTACTGAGCTGTCTCCCTGGCCCCCTCCTTTTGAGATACACTGACCTCTATCTTCCACAACCCATAGGCCACCCTCAACCAAAACTTCCTATGACTCCTGGGGATTTAACATACCTCAAATCTAAGCCTACAGAACTACAGCCCATGTGGCCTGGCCCACATCTGGTCATCCTCACCACAGAAACAGTGGTAAAGGTTGCCTGCCTCCCTTCCTGTTTCCACATACACAGGCTAAGTGGTGTCCTCCAACTCCAAACTCTTACTCTCAGAGTAGCCATCTTACCTCCTGTCCCCCACCCACCTCTCCCTCACCAAACATCCCTAAAACTTCCAGCCATCAGCTTTCTCCAAACCCAAATAAACTCACTGACAACAGCAGTCTTGCGCTTATTCCACTGAGCCATCTTCCTGGCCCGGGACCTACCTCTTGTTGAGAGAAGAATGTTGCTTCTCTGTTAACCAGTCAGGTATTGTCATGCAAAAAGTACACAAACTTGTGGCCTTGCTGCAAAGATGCAAAGGCGCAGGCTCTTCCTGGCCCTGTTCTGGGTAACCAGATCTTGGCGCCTGGATGCATCCTCCTCGCCCTCTTGGTCCTCTAATCACGATATTAGTCCTGTTACTCAGCACCTTGCCTTTTTAAACTTTTATTTTTGAGGTTTCTCCAATCTTTCACCATGAAGCAACTTCTCATTCTAGCTGAGGCCCTTGGCGCCAGCTTCCACATGGGCCACACTTGTCATAGGACAACCACCCCAGCCCCAGCTCCAGCCCCTACAATGACTACCCTCCCCACCCCCCATGGTCAGCAGGAAGTAGCTAGAGAGAGTCATCACCCCTTTTAACAACAAAAAGGGACTGAGAGAAATGGCTCAGCAGTCTAAATGCCTCCCTGGCAAGCACAAAGACCCCAGTTCAATCCCTGGTACCACATGCTGTGCTGGCCCCAGAACTCCAGGCCTGCTGAGCCAGCCACCTAAGCCAGGTGTGGTGGCGCACATCTGTAATTCCAGTGCTGGAGAGGCTGAGACGGGGATTACTACAAGTCCGAGCTGCATAATGAAACCCTGTACAAATGGATAAATAAATACAAGATTTAAAAAAACAGTAACAAAAAGATGGGAATGATGGGCCTGCGTCCACGCAGCCATCCGCCAGGTTGTCATGGCGGTGAGTCAGCGGGGCATGAGGATCCGAGGACTGATGAGGAGCTGTCCCGAGGCTGACTTTGTCTTCCTCCCTCTGGTTATCCACGGAGTTCTTTTGTTTTTCTTGCATGCCATGCCTTCCCCAGTCAGCACCTGTTAGGACACCCTACTGCCCATACAAACTCCACCCCTACCCCATCCCCATAAATTCTCTGCCAGCCTGCCTTCTCCGAGGGTCTTCTCCTTTCTTTGATAGCCCTCCTGCACCAAGCAACGAAGGATTTCTGTCCTTCTTTCCTTCTTCTCTCACACCAGAAGAAGGAACCTTACAGAATGCAGCCTGGGGAAATGGGCCTCCACCCTTCCCCACCAGGCTCCTTCCTGCAAGCAGCATCCCAGCTCTTCCTGGGACTTCGACTGTGGAAGGCCTTTCCCATGGAGCCAGATGTAGTGGGATATGCTTGCGGTCGCAGAGATCTGGAAGGCTGAGGCAGAAGGATCGCAAGTTCAAGCATAGCCAGGGTAATTTATTTACATAGTGAGACCCTGTCTCAAAAACAAGGTAAGACATAGGCTGAATATGTTGCCCAGGGCCACCATCCTCTATCGTGTTTACTGGTACAAACTCAGGTTAGTGATTGAAGGCCTTTTCCTGCACAGGTGTTGCATCTATACTCTGTGGGTGCAGGGGTATGGCGCCCCAATCCCAGCCCATGCCCAGTCTCCCCTGGAAAGAAGCAGCCAGGTCAGTG